TTGGTGATATTGGTGAAACTGGTGGTGTTGGTGAAACTGGTGACATTGGTGAAACTGATAATATTGGTGAAACTGGTGATATTGGTAAAACTGGTAATATTGGTGGCAATTAGTAATATTACCAGTTTTGCTAATATTATAGTTTCACAAATACTATCAGTAGCATTTCTATAAACCTAAACAAAATTGAACTTAGGGTAAGTTCAGGTTCAGTTCAACTTTTGAACTGAACCTGAACCAAACTATAAACAAAATAGTTAATATTCAAGTTTGATACCGAACATTTTGAACTTCTTCTGGAGTTTAAGTTGAACAATTCATACATAGCATTGCTTCAAAAAAATTAATAGCCAAATTTTTTCTGACTTATATAGATATAGTTTTAAATTAATTGCTAGTGAGTTTATAAAGCTTAACGTCACGTCACTAAGACTTTTATTCATCTAGGTTGAAAAGTTGACATGAGTAAAACTTATATAGGACAGACCAAAAAACTATCAGTCCTAATACAGTTAGTATAAAATATCATACCAAACATTTATAGCCTAATTTTTTGTAATCTTATTAGGTTTAGATAAATTTCAGATAAGACTAAAATTTATTATCAATATTTTGTATATAAATTTTTGGACTATATGTTATATAAGTTATAAGAATCATAAATCGGCATGGATAAGAATTAATAGATTATATCAATTATTCGATTAATAAATAATGTTAACTGGATTGACTTGAACAAAAGATTATTTATCGACCAAATCAGCAAAGATAATAAACTAATAAACTAATAAGAAGTACATATATTGTTTTCGAGTGTTTTGATTAAACAAAGTACTTTATACTTTCCAGTTAAATTAAACCTAAATAATTGACTTAATGAAAATTAAAGATAATTTATAATCTTACAGAGATAGAATATTAAAATATTTTTGTTATATTTTAGACTAACTTACAGACTAATATAATTTAAATATAAAGAAATGGCCTATTTTAAATACACCCACAATTATTATCACCGACTAAAATAAGAACCCAAATTAAAATGGTTATTTTCGCAATTGCTAGTAAATTTCTGGTTATATGAGGCCCGAAGGCTCTCATATATATATTTCTCCACAGTGGAAAATAAGGGTATTATCGTATTTATTTACAAAGGCCCAAACCATAAATATCCAACATCCAATAGCTAACTATTCTAACTATTTGTGCCGAAAATCTGATCTTTGGCACAAATGTTAACTATCAGGTATCGGATATTATGCTTTGGATTTGCTCCCATAGCCATAAAGCTCATATCTTTGATATTAAAATAAATAAGTAATTCGAAATAAATTAAGAATGTAACTGTATCTTATTTTTTTTTACATGAAAAAATGATTGGTAAAAATATACAATAATGCGATAATTTATTATAAAGATATATTACAATTTTAGAGGCTATGACAATGATAATAATTAAAAATTTTACTCAGTTTTTTTATTTAATCTAAATTTTATTATAAAAACAGGTTTTTTTAACAAGGATTAGATATAATTATCTAATATTTTAATTAAAAAGGATTTATCTAGCTATATGTATAGTACATGGCCCATTAAAATATACCTACAAAAATCATTTGCATGATACTCAAAATTCGTGCGCATGCCATTACTAGTTCTAATAATAATGGACAAGTTTGAATATTTGTTTAGAGGTAGCTTTTATGTAATAAACGATTAATAAACTAATAGTTTGAATGGAGTCTATAATAATAATACATAATAATTAATATGTTGGTGCAATTTATTGCAGGAAAAGAAAACGGCAAGGAAGAGAAATGGTGGGGAGAAAATATTGGGAAAGAAGCAGCAGAAAAAGAAAGGGCATGGTACAGAAAATGTCAAGGAGTAAATGATAGAGAATGTATATGTCGGGAAAAAGTAATGTTTGGGAAAAGCAAGTATTGGATAATAGTAAATGTTGGGGAAAATTAAATGTCAGGAAAGTAAATGTTAGTGAAGGGTAAAATGGTGGGAAAGGGAAGTATCAGGAGAGGAAGTATTATAGAGCCTGAACCAGAACTTGTTCATGAACATTGAACTAAACCCGAATTGAATCAATAGTCATAGCAACTTTTAGATTTGGGTTCAAGTTCCGAACCTGGGTTGACCCGAACACGAACCTCGGAACACCAATCACAAGTTTCACCAATGCCACCAGTTTCACCAATACCACCAGTTTTACCATCACCAGTTTCACCAACACCACCAGTTTCACCAACATCACCAGTTTCACCAATACCACCAGTTTCACCGGTTTTACCAATGATTGGTGACTGGTGGTAATTGGCGCACCGTTGAAGATTTGTTTCACCTGCAACTCTAAACCAGTATAATCAGTATAAACAATATATCGCTAAAACCGTGTATAATGCGTCCTAATTAAAAGAAATATATAATAAAGGCTTCTCGCCCTTGAGGGAAGATATCCTTCGTGATTCCAATAAAACTCGTTCCCTAATAACCCTATACCTTCTAATCTCGCTAATAAAAATTTACCTGACCCTAAATCTACTGCTTAAGCGACATAAGCGGTACGATCGTTGTTCCTTGTTCACGTGACGAACGTAAATTATACCGAAACTCTGTTCTCGAAGTACTAAGGACTTCCGTGGTTGTTAATTTCCAACTGTCTCCACGTCTGAGGTAGTTGTGGTTGTTTTCCAACTCTCCCAACGGACTGTGGATTGTTGTGGTTGTCTTTCCAGTTTCCCTACGGATTATGGGTTATTGTTGAAGAACTCAAGCCGTGGATATTGTGTAGAAATAAACTAAAAGGCATTAGTACAATATCAAAGTCTCAACATAAGTAAAAGAAGACATACCTACGCCCAAAATCACCCTCGTCCAAATCTAAACGCCTCCTTTCGACTAAAGCTCAACGTAGGTTACACAAGGTCTCGAATCGATTAGCGACCGACTCGCCGTTCTAGGTCGTCAATATTCAAGGTTGATCTTAACGATGATCTTGTTATGTCACGGGGTATATCGGTGATTTATTATTCGATCTAAGATCCTTAGCGTTAGATCTACGTCACTTGGATCTTCAATTTTGATATAGACGTCACGAGTTTCTGATGCCACGAGCAATTTCGATGAGCAATTAATTGTTCGATCGATTGTTAGGCTAATTAGCGATAACAATGTTTTCGGTTATATAAGAATGAATAATGCGAATTTGGGTTCTTTTACTTGTCTCTGTTTTCTGATAGCGATAACTTCTATACTACTATTGAGACAGAAATTGGGTTTATTACGGACGATGTTGGGTCAGAAAGAACAATTTATTTAAGGACCAACTTCTACTACGAAGATTTCGAAGTTTTCAAACTCTAATGAGTTCTTCTTTGAGCTTAAGGCTCTTATATACTAGAGCGTTACAGACTAAAAATTGGTTCAATTGATTCAATTGAATCTATTGGCTCAATTGATTCAATTGAATCTATTGACTCTTTCGATTCAATTGATTCAATTGCTTCAATTGAATCAATTGAATCAATTGTATCTATTTACCGATCCCACCACGAATACCTAAAATAGAAAAAAAATAAGAAAAGATAAAAATAGAAATAGATAATCGAGCACAGCCCAATTTCAAGTGGGTGACATCGATTTTAACCGTCACAAAGTACATACATAAGTTTCTGTACTTATAATTTGCTTTGTCACTCATTTCTGTTTTTTTTTTACTATGAAAACACAAATGGGTTATTCTCCTGCTTATCGCGCAACCTGCGCAGTTTCTTAGGATCAATTTCTTTTCTCTCCTCTCTCTTTTTTTTTCTTTTTTTTTTCACTTAACACTAATTCATACTTGGCAGTTGTCCTGGCAGGTCACAAGAAACTGGCTCTAGAAGCGCATCCCGTGTACAGGAAAACACAATGAAAATCCTGGAAAATCATTTTGCAAATAATAAACAGACGATCACCACGGATAATCAGTAAACACTGAGCTACTAAATCAGCAATCTGAAGAAGCGCGAAACCTTTAAAGACAATTGAATTAGAATGAAATATATTGAAGAAGACGCAAATAATCAACTTGAAACAAGAAACAAATGCGATCGTTTGCATTATACCATATATTATAATATCGTTAATTATCACGATAGTATAATATTAAAAGAATAGTTAGTTTAAAAATTAATATTGTAAAGTGTTTAAACACTCGATTTTTACCTTAGAAACTTTGTGCATGTAAACTTCGAAATTATGTTCCTAAATATTTATTATTAAATTAGTAGACATACCCTTTAAAATTAATCACTTAGAAACTATTGATTTATAATCCCGATTAGGGATGGGTTTGGTCAGCTAGGTCAGTTATCGGTCAGCTATTACTATCGAATAGTAGCCGGTCAATTACTTGATCAATTTCTTAATCAATTTTTTAAAGTTATATTTTTGTACCCTGGTCATATGCTATAAACAGCCAATAAAATAATCAAAATATTGAATATCCGATCTCATTTACTAATTCTGGTCAAATTTGTAGATAATTGACCTATTGGAGATGAGTTTAAAACTCATTCTCAATAGGCCAAGAGATCTACAAATTTGACCAGAATTAGTTGTTTGGAAAATGTGAATTGGTCTATATGAAATTTTGAAAAACTTTCAAAGATTTCTCTGTAGCTACTTGATTAAGCCTAGTAAAATATTTTTTTATTTTAATTTCAAACTTTTGTAGAATTAAAATAAAAATTTTTTTACCAAGTTTGCTAGATGGTTTTGAGAAATCTTCGCTAAAATTTTAAAAATATTCAAATTTACAAAAAATCAGAAATTTTCTTTTTTTTAGCTAAAATATCTTAACTATTTAATTAAATTTGCTAAATTTTTTTTATTTAAATATTAAAATTACTGTCAAAGTGTATCTTGACTTATGGGGTTTTACTCAATCGAACCTTGCTAAAAGACTCGCTTTACTTTACTGCGAGGACTGGAGTATCGTACCAGATACTGCACACGTATACCATGTACTAAGTGATATGTAAACACACAGTTTATTGTTTAGACGTTTCTTTATTATTAAAAACTTTTCTATTCATCTCTCTCTAATCTAAACTAATTTCTAATTACTAAAGACCATTGTTCTATTTATATAACATGATGATCGATCATGCAACGCGTAAGTTACATGAACCCGATCCTGATCCCATGCTAATAAACACGTATTAACCAAATCTACCACGTCAATTACATAGAGTTAAAATAAGTAAAAATTTATTAAATTTGATAAATAATTGCTAAAATATTTAAGCTTAAAATCAAAATAGCTTTTATTTTAAAAAATTTGATATTTTTTTATTGATGTTACTTTATATATCTGGCTTTAAATTTAATATATTAACCAGGGCCCAGATTAGTATATTAAATTTAAACCAATTTTTGTTCTTTATAAAAAAAATAAATTTTATTAGCTTAATTGAGAATATTTAATTTATATTATCTGTTATACAACTTATATTTAATATTAAAAATATAATATAATAACTAAGCATTTAGTCAAAAGGAGCAGAGCAGAGGTATTATCCATAGCAAGTAACTACAAAGAAAGTAAGCAAAGTGAGCTCTGTTGGTATTGCTAAGTGTAAGTGAAACAATACAAATTGTACTGTCTATAATAAACTTGTTGTCCGGAGCAAAGCGGAGGACACTATGTTTTTGCGACAGCAAGCGATCATTTTGATCACGTGAGAATTCTGTCTGTCCGCTTCTGCAAATCTGATTGGTCATGATTATCATATATATCTGAAATGCATTAATTCAAAAAAAAACGGTTCTCTAACTTACAAATGTCAATTTTTTTTTGCGAAGTACTATACTCATCGTTACTTTTTGCTAGAATTTTTATAATATCTATGCTCCGGACTTACACTTCCTAGTTTATAGAGAATGTTTAGTTTCACATGACTGATAAAAATAACAGGCTACCAGTTTTAAAATAATATATAAAAATAATTACAGTATTATATAAAATTTATTATTCAATAATGTTAAAACCCAGAGCAACACATCGGGTTAAAGGCTAGTCATAATTATTTGGAACAATTGTATTTAATAAGAAATTCATTAGATCAAAGCAATCTAGTATTATCTATGAGAGTTGAGCGACTTTGTATATTGCTTTCGAGAAAATAGTATATAATTATTATAAAAGTTATGAGTGTAAACTAATAACGCTACAACATAGAAATTAATAGGAGTATTTCGAATTTTGATATATAAGCAATCAGAACATACAATAATTATAAAATTAAAAAAAAAGTTTCATGATTACGGCAGAGCTGGGGATAACAGTGTTGAATAAACCTTTCCTATTATGACGGTGCTAAATAATCTATAATGATGTGATGCTTTTTGAAACGAGTTTTTACCTAACAGGTTTTTACTTTTTTTTGTTCATTCAATTTCATCTTATATTAATAATTGCATTTACACGTGCAGTAAATGACATAACGAATCAGATCAATGTCGATACGTAAATATTTTTTGTAGAAAAAAAGAAAGTTTATGTAATAATAAGCGATACTGTAGTAAAAGCATGAGCAATTTCCATACCATAATTTTTTACTGTATCTTATGGTAGAGGTCATGATAATTCGAATGCAACTTTAACCACTTACTGTCACTGGAATAATGAGTTATTTTTGCATCGAAATTATTATGATTTCTATTATGAACAAATTTTCATTATTGAACTTATTCGCAATTCCAGTGACACATAGTATGTGGTGAAGGATAGAGTTGTTACCATTGCCGAAACTTAGTTTTGGATTTACTGTAATAAAGTCCAAAATAGCAAGAATATTAACTTCGATGAAAAAATTTCATCATATAACTAATATATTGTAATTTTCAAATATTGGCAAATTCCAAATTCCGATCAAAAGTTGCCGTATTCGTAATCTGGTGCCGAAACAGTTTGGAACGCATACTAGTGAAGGATGAATTAGTTTCTTCGAAATAATTATGATTCTTGTCATGAGTTTCTGTAAAAAATTC